TGTATGTATTTATGTATGTATGTATTTATGTATGTATGTATTTATGTTTGTATGTATGTATGTATGTAGTTATGTATGTATGTATGTGTTTATGTATGTATGTATGTGTGTGTATGTATGTGTGTATGTATGTATGTATGTGTGTTTGTATGTATGTATGTATGTATGCATGTATGTATGTATGTATGTGTATGTGTATGTATGTATACATTGAGAGAGAGAGAGAGTTATATGACTGCATTTGGTTACCGGCTGCATAGTTGGAACATGCAGAAACCTAGGGTGTCTCACTATGCAAGCCAGGTCAAACGAGAAAAGTGCAGTTGAAGTAGTTTCTATAGCCAGTCTAATGAATTTTCTAAATAGCCGAAGAGTCCGCACAGTGGCTGTAGCCTCCGCTTCAAGTTCCCGATGGAATGTCTCAGGTCATGATGATCTGTTCCACAATTGCTCTCCTTGCATCAACTCAAAACAAGGGCTGCAAGAAACAATATTTGTTTTAACATGGTTTAACATCTTTCACGGCAGCTGGCGTTCTGACTGTGCCCAAGCTAGGTGCGTAACTCTTTTCTCCGTCATCTAGTTTATGTTCCAGTCAGGTACACCGAGAGGCGGCATATTGAACTCTATAGAATTGGGGATTGTGAGACAGAGAATCATAGCTCTAAAGAATTCGGTTGGGGACATGGAAAATAAGTAGACATTTCAAATACAAACGCTATGGAATCGCAGGGCACAAGGTATTTTCGAACAGTTTTGTTCAATTATTGGATAGTAGGGCCTCTGTAGAATACAGGCTTTGGGTTGCAAAATCTGACTACGTTGGAAACAGGACCTCTGGCAACCTATTCCTGCATGAAAGCTACCACTATTCTATAGTATTTCAATGTATTTCAACATGATCATTGGCCAAAGTCACCTTCACATATTTTATAGAACACCTATATTCAGCGACCATCTGCAAACAAAAATCTATAGAATTGAGACCCTTGACATGTAAAAGTCCATCATGGTTGCAATATAAAAACCAGATTTCTTTTGCTTGCCAAGACATGTGTTCATGCACAAAAATCCTCTATAGAATTGAGGCTCGTAATTTCCTGCGTTCTCTATAAAATCAGACTCTGACATGCCACCTCCAACATGGGCAGATCAGTCTTTATGAAAAAACTGTTTGCTTTGTGATGGTATCATCGATTTTGTAGTGGAAATTTGCAGGGGGATTTCTAGTCTATATTGCACTTCTAAACTCGACAGTGATCAGCAAACGAAGTCTGACACCTGGATTTTCCGCAAACCTGAAAGGTCGTAGCGCAACTACCGGTACTCAAGGGCCCTCGTGAGATGAATGGCCATCGAAAATGCAAACATCAAGCACGTTTCATGCGAAAGTGTAAGCTGAAGTCAGACCGGTGGAGCATCTAAATGAAAAATCGTAAAAGGGTGTGCTCAACGATCTAACCAGCGAAAAACATTCAAAAGGTCGGCCCTCTAGCTTCGAAGTGCATCTTCGTAAACACTCACAAAGCTATATGCTCCTTCAACACCTCGCCCTAGCAGACTCATTCGGTTCGTCTCGTGATCGTAGTGAATCTGTGTCTGCTGCATGCGATCTTGAATCTCACCTCTTCGAAAGCGTTCTTTCTCTTCAGAGTGAGGATCACCAGGGCTGTGAACTCGTGTCACGGAGGTTGGAGAAGTGTGGAGCATGTGTGTCAATTCTGCAATCTTCAGGTCTTTCTTCTTCACGTCCATGTGAATTTCCAGGATCATGGAAAGCTGGTCGTTCAAAAAACGATGCCACTGCTTGACCTGAAGATCTGTTGCGCTCTCACTTCCATTCTTCAAAGTCAACTCCAGAAAGAGTCGTCGGCGCACCGTCGGTATGACGTGTTCCACGACATGACCGCGCATGGAAGGTGTCACCTTCTCTGTACAGAGCATCTTCATGAGTTCATTCCATTTCTTTTGACCCTTCTCTTCAAGGACCTCCTCGTAGAGTCTCTTCCATCGAGCTTGTTCTCCGGTGGAGCATTCAATGATGCCCTCATTTTCTTCTGAGGTCTCCTCATTCTCAGTCATGTCGTCATTCTCATTCGCGCCATGGCTCAAACCTACGGATGGTTCGTCCAAATTCTCAATCACCTGCTTATTCTCACAAATCTTGACATATGCGAAAATCGCAAAGGTCTTGACCTTCTGGGTGATCATGACAAAGACATCTTTCAAAACCCAAATTGAACTGAACGCACCAATCATCGCAAAAAGGATGATGACAGCAAAGGTGTTCAAAAACTGGGTCTCACCTTCATTCTCCATATCGTTTGCGGCTTCTGCTAACTCCATGTTCTCTGCGGCCAAAATGGACATGGCACACACCGCAGCCTTCTGCCACTCGTCTCCACTTCGTCCCAAGCGAAACTGGTGCAGGTAAAAGTGTCTTCTCGAGCAGAAAGCGTGTCGGGCACTTGTCTTGTCGACTTCCTTCTTGCATCCTGGCAAACGACACAATCCTGCTGCTTCCTTCTCTTTGGCATCTTCTGTGAAAAAGACTTGTCCATCAAAAAGGTTCTCAGCTGCTTTCTCTAGCTCTTTCTCCTCTTGCCAGCGAGCTTCATGAGTCACCTTCTTCGCAGCCACGAAGCCTGGGTCGAATTTGAGGGAGTGCACACCACGAGAAAGGACATGGGCTAAATGGTCCTTAGCCGCACTTTTGGTCAAGCCGTCGGCCAACTGCTGCAGGGAATTGCACCATTTGACTTTCGACAAAGAAGCTTCAAGTCTCTCCCTCAAAATGCAAATCTCTATGGCAGTTCGACGTTCTGAAAGCTTCAAACCTGAAGTGACTGCTGTTGTGCTGTCAAAAAGGGCTTTGGCGTCAGTGATCACTGCGGAACCCCCAAACTTGTGCATGGTTGCATCATCTTGGATAGGAACATAGGGGTTCACCACAGCAGCAAAAAACACTTTTGACCGCTCCAACTCATCCACGGCAATCGTTGCAGATTGCGCTTCGGCAGACAATGAGCTTCTGCACATGCGAACCAACTTTTTGCTCGACCAATCCAGAATGGTCAAAGGGAAAGGCTCGCATGACTCTAGCTCTGCTTGGCTTGAAAGGAACATCAACATGCCACCTTGCGAGCTCCCATCCGGCCTCACAGACCAAGCAGCGTCGCAATACAAGCTAATCCTCAACTGCTCCAAGGGACAATGCTTGCGCAAGGTGAAGACATAGTTCTTGACGACTTCCTTCAAGAACCTCAAGCACTTATTGGCTTCCAGCATATCTTTCACCATGGGCTTGTTGATGTTGGCCTGAAGAAGACTGATGGTAGCCGATGCTTGTGGCAAGCATTGAGTCACCGGCCAAGACATAGCTCCAACCAATGCTCGAAGCTGCCTGTGTTCTTTTTCCGTGCAGTAGTCTTCAACCATGACTTTTCTTGTTTTCTCCAAACTCAAAGGCTTGATCTTGTTCACATACTGCTGGAGAGAAATCGTCACAGTCTCATGGTCTGCTGTTTGTTTCACCTCGGCACCACAGAAGCGCATCTTGTCTCCAAAGTCCCAACTTCCAAACCGGAACCGTGTGGACAAATGATGCATGCGATGCTGAAAACAAGCAGACTCACCTGCAGGGTCATTCTGAATGTCTTGGAGGGCATTGACGTGTTCGCCTGCGCCAATGAAATCATCAACATGCAATCCAACCACTCCGTCAACAATCCACCAGTCGTTGCTCATCTCAAAGGTCAGGAAGGGCTCATCTTCCTGGGTGGCCTTTCTCAAGGACATGTACAGGCAACGATCAAGAGGATGACTCACAAGCTTCAGATTGTTGACCAGGTAGGAGTCGGCTGTATCGAACCATTGTCGTGGAGCTCGAACGTCTCCGAAAGCTGGCTTTGTGGCCTTCAGGATCTGATGTTGTTGAAGTCCCATCAAACGCTCAAGTCTTCTCCTCATATCGGAGGTCGGCTTCACGAAGATCCTTGTGGATTCGTCAATGGAATCTGCTTGCATGAAGGCTGACTTGATGTCTGCACACCAGACTTTCCAACCACGATGCACTGCCCAAACCAGAATTGTCATACGACCCAATCTGCTGAGTGTTGGTGACTCACGAACAAGGTTTTCACTGAGGACGTCAACGTGCCTGAAGCCTTGCAGGATGACTCTCGCGTTGGCCACCTGACCATCTGCTGTGGGCTTCCAACGCTGCAGAAATCGGGCAGGAACTACCTCCCCATCACCAGCTTCAGATTCGTCGACAGCTTTCCAAGCCTTGTTCTCAATCCACACCATCAAAGCAGCATCCTTTGCCTTGTCGAATGCTTTCTTGTCTTCAGGACTCAGCTTTCGCTCATCGAAGGTTTCTGCAACCAAGGCTTCATCTGGAGTCAAGGGGTCGGTTGCGTCCATGAACCTCTGAAAGGCTGGGTCATCTTCACGAACTGGAGGGAGACCATCCAACTGCCTTGACATGTTGTAGGACTGAAAGACAGCGTTTCTCTCATCACGTGGAAGTGGACTTCTTGAACGAGCGCTCTCTGAAGGTTCATCAGCACCCGATCTTTCGTCTCCAGCTGTCGTCTTGGCCACTTGTGAAGGTCTTTCTTCATCCGCATTCACAGGATGCTCTCTCTTCCTCACAGTTGTCATCTCCGTGTCCTCAGGATCAGGATTGGTTTGTGCTGTTGCTTCTGCAGCCGCGTGTGGTTCTGTTTCGACCTGCTGGGGCTGTGGTTCATGTGGCTGCAGCTGTTGTGTTTCTGCGGTGGCTGTTCCTGAATCCTGGATGGCTTCTTCAACCTGATCTTGGTTTTCATCTTTGTTGCCTTCTGGCTCCTGGGAATCGTTCAGGGGATCATCTGGCTTCTCAGGCTCGTCTTTTGCGTCAGAAAAAGGTGGGTCCCCCGAGAGGTCAAGAAAGCGAACTGGACCTCGGACAGGGTGCAAGGCAGCACGAACGGTGTCCTGCACATCTCGAACACGAGCTGTCTGAGGGAGATATTGCAAGCGAGCCTGACGTTCACGTGGTGCTTCAGGTCTCAAAGAAGTATGGCTGACTCGAAGCAAAGAAGTTCCGTGAGCCAACCAGTAGACGTCAGGTCTTGGTCCAGCGTCATCAGCCTCACGGGGTTGTGAACTGCAAACCAATGCTGGGCCACGCCATCTACTGACCTCAAGCTTTGAATCACCTTCACGCCAGTAGTACACCCATTCTCCAGGAAAATACTGAGGAACAACGGCTCGACTCTGGCTCAAAAGTGCTTTCCTCAAAGCGTGACTGTAATTGGCCTCATAGAAGGATTTTGCTGCAGCGACTCGTAGCTCTCGGACTTCTTGGTGTCGCTTGGATGGATCTGCAGCATTGATGACCGGTTCATCCATCAAACCTGCTTCTTGAGCATTTGTGCCAAAGACAATCTGTGATGGGGACGAACCGTGGATTGACCGAAGCTGGTTCCTCATGGAACATGCTATAGGGGCTGCCACATCCAAACTCAATGTGGGTTTCTCCATCTTCATCTTCAGGAGTTGCATACGTCTCACGGCATGCAAGCGTTCCACAATCCCCATCTTGTAGTGAGCGTCTTTAGGCACCAGGATCAACTTGATGTTCCTGTCATCCATGTAGCTAAGGAAGGCCTCACTCATGTGACCTCCTGAAGCATCCGTCTTGATCTTCTGAGGGCAGCCAAAGACATTGATCCAGGAATCCAGCACGCTTAGTTCAGCCTTTTCCGTCTCTGCCTCTACAGCTGCGTTCATCTCATAGCGGGAGAAGACATCAATGATGGCAAGGACTTTGAGTTTCTTGTCGTCCCACTTGATATGGAAAACATCCATTTCGAGCAGCTCGTTGAACTTCTGTGCTTGAGGCAGTGAGGAAGGCTTAGCTGGCTTCTTGTTGATGAAATTCTGGCAAATGTCACATGTGTATCCTTTGGCGGCCTCAATGATCTCTTCATTCATGCCGGACTCTCTCAATGCCACCAACAAACGATCTCGTCCGGGATGACCGAGTTGTCGATGCAGCTTTGCCACAATTGAAAGGGCGGCACTCTTTTGAGTCTTAGATCTTTTCATCTCCTCATCCGTTACCTTCTTGGTCTTCTTCTCTTCCACAGTCTCTTCAGCAACCAGGATCTTGGCTATCTCTTTCTTCATCCAATTGTCGTCCATCACGTTGTAAATGGCTTTTCCTGCAATCTGCGTGAACTTGGCCTCATAGTTCTGCATGTCATGGAGTGCTCTGCTTTTGCCATCCATTTGTACGTGAGGCTTGGTGCAAGTGCAGGGAAGATTCAAGGCTTCTGCTACTTCTCTTGAGCTGGTGCGAACCCGTGTCTGTTTGCGTACAGGTCCCTCTTGATGCTCATCTTTGTAGTAAAGACCAGTTCGACACCTGTTGCAGATGCCTTCGAAGTAGCCACGCATGTTCTGCAAAGTTTTTGTATCCCAAGACTCAGCACCATGAGGATGTTCCATAGCGTAGTCGCTGTCTATCTCCTTGCAAACAGTTGCAACATCCTCAACCAATGACAAATGGGAATGTTCTTCTTCATTTCTTCGTTCTTCGAGTTCTTTTCTCTGCTTCAAAGTTCTCCTGTTGAGCCTTTGCATTGATGACCACTTCTTGCATGGCGGTGCGATCCAGACAAAATCTGGGGAAACTTCTCTCAACAGGGACACAAACTCTTCTCGCACAGCCTTCTGGCTAAAGTCCCACTCTGGCAGAGAAAACGTAGATGACTCAACATCAGGATTCTTCTTGGCAAGATGAACTGCCAAGTTCCCTTTGTCCACGTAGACCTCGAAGAACTTGAGCTTCTTTTCAGAGCGTAGTCTTTCAGCAATCCGCTCTGCCAAGTCATCTGCAATCATGATCTCTTCAGTCACTTTCATCTTGTCTTTGTCAACGACGTCCACCTCCATCGATGGTTCAATGTCCCAAGCATCAAAAGGTCCTTCTTCTAGGAGCTTTGCATCATCGTCAACTCCCAACTGCTCACCTTCATCCATCTGGTAGTAAATCTCCTCAACGTGGTAGTTGTCCTCGTACATCATGAGGTCCAGGATGAAGTGTCCACGCTCATTTCTTTCGGGAGTGATCCAATCTGAATCTCCAATCTTCATTCGGTTCTCCTTGTAGTCATGCACCACTCCCCATTGCTCCAACGTGGGACGAGCAAGTAGAAATGGCGTGCTTCCGGGGACAACCGATGCTGTCACAGGCAATGCTTGACCATGGACAATGGCAGTGAACTCTACCTCATAGTCTGAACGAAGTGTCTCTCCTCCTCCAAACTTGAAGTGCCTCACCTTGTTCTGCGAAATCACTGGCTTTGTCTGGTCATTGCCATATGCTTCCAACCATCGATGCCAATTCTCTTCACCAACAATGGTACGTGTCGCACCACTGTCCACAATTGCTTTGCCTCGTTCGGCCACTGCGAAGAAGCACTGCTCATCGGTCACTTGTTCGTAGGTCGCAACCTCTGTTGTTTCTGTCAAATTTGTTTCTTCCACCATGGTGATCTCCTCGGGCACTTCCTTCACTCCAGCGGCTTGGCTTCTATACCGCTTGAATCTGGGTCCATGTTGCGACGTGGAACCAGTCAATGTTGACTTGTCGCCAATGCTGGTGGTTGTAGATGGGCTCGAAGGAGGTCGCCTCAGTCCTGACATAGGGCGTCGATGAAAAGGAGTTCTCCTCATGAAACCACCTCCTTTCCCTTTTCCTTTGCTCTTGCCCTTTCCGCCAGACTTCCCTTTTCCTTTTCCTCCTTTTCCTTCACCTTTGGGAGGTCGTCCGCCAGCACGATCATAGTCTGGCCCAAGAGCAACCACCGGATAGAAACCTCTGGATAAGGCCAATTCTTTCATCCGTTTTCTGCTTTCAATGTAGGAGACGTAGGCCTCATCGGTTAACTCCATAGCTTCTTCAAGCTCTTCTGGAATAGGCTCTTCATCTTCTTCATACTCATCTGCTTCGAAGGCCTCATCGTCATACCAATCTCCATCATTGGCATAACCATCAACATCATCATACCATTCATCTTCTTCCTCCACATAGACCTCCTCCTTCGAAGACGTAGTGGGTCGAGCACCCAGGTCACGAGCATTCGGCACATGGTCACCACCGAACATGCGAATCAAGGCTCTGCCAACCTTCTCATACTCAAGATCACCGGAACACATGGCCTTGATCTGGACGTGAGTCCATCTCGGAATTCCAGCTCTGGTGAGAAGGTGCCAACCAGAAAGCAAAGGTGGAACCTCGACATTCACTTCTCGCATGCGCTTCAAAAGTGTCCTGTGTCGAATCAGGTAGGCCTGCAATTCTTCTCCTTTCTTGCGACTGAAGTCGGAGAAGAATTCGTCACAGCGAGAGGGAACCTCAATGAGATCCTCGTACTGGTAGAGCTCGTCAAGCAAACGAAAAACCAATTTGAAAGGATCTGTTGCCGTCTCAACTTCATCAAAACTCAACTGCTCTGTGGCATCCCAGGCAACATCACGAAGGCGACTTATGACAAGGAATGCGCCTTCCACCGCTGTGTCTCGTCCTCGACGATCGCACTGCTTCTTGAACAGCTCTAAGCGTCTTCGAAAACTCCGATAGGTCTTCTGGGTCAAATTCTCTGAGGATGGGCATGCCTTTGCTAATCCTGAATCAAGTCCTCGGCCATGCTGAGGAGTGAAGGGCAACTGAATGGCGGGCTCATCTCTTTCGACATTGGCGAAAAGAACACCAGGTCCTCTTCCACCACCATCTGAAGGTCCAGGCACCGTTGTCCTGGCACGACGAACAGGAGTTCGCCTCGGACTCCTCTCCATACCCGACATGGGTCAAAGGCAAGGAACTTACCCTCAACTTTCACGGGGATCTAAAAGATCTCGGCAAACAAAAAGGTCACCGTAGGAGCCGACTATCTGGAGCGTCGCCTGCTCCGCTACCAATCTAAACTCGACAGTGATCAGCAAACGAAGTCTGACACCTGGATTTTCCGCAAACCTGAAAGGTCGTAGCGCAACTACCGGTACTCAAGGGCCCTCGTGAGATGAATGGCCATCGAAAATGCAAACATCAAGCACGTTTCATGCGAAAGTGTAAGCTGAAGTCAGAGCACTATAATCAGTAAAGGTATATGGAGCTCCGAAGCCCAAAAAACATACGAGTACCTGCACAAATAGCTGACCTCACTGTCTCCCCTGTCAACCTTCACTGATCTTCAATGTCGATTTCTAAAGATGCTAAGAGTCGTAAAACACAACGCCGCTGACGTATGCCACTTCGACACGTGCCATTGAGCGCAGACTCCATCCAGAGATTTGGGCCTTAGTTGATGTGATTGTCCTGTTGGTCGCTGTTCGATGTGGAACGTCTCCGACGATGTCTAGGATGTCAAGAATAAGGAGCTGCATAATAAACCGAACTCTTAAAGAAGACTTCCGAAACTTATGCGTCGCGTTTCCCAAGCATTCTGAGCAAGTTCCTAAAAGTAAAGCGCAAACGCGGCTGGAGGGGCACTGCTTCGATCAGCCGCACAGATCACACTTCGCACGGGACTTTCTACATGTCGTGGCTGAATTGCCGTTGTTCTTGAGCAGTGAGGCTTGCGACCGTCCGGATGCATGAAATCAAGAGTTTGGCTGAGATCCTTATCAAAACTAGGGGCGCCGAGCATGGACCATTACAATTGCGCGCGCCCAGTAGGAGCCTGGAATGCCGCTTGGCATCGATTTCCCCCAAGATCCCAAAAGTCCCCAAGGCTGCGAACACTTGTAGGGCAACCTGTGCCGAGTGACGCGGAAAAGGCCCTGGCTTCAAACGTGCTGTTGAAAGGTCTGGGATCTGCAAGTCAGCGCTATCATCTGTCCTGCTGCTCAACAATACAAAAAATGGTCCGTGTCCAATGCCCAAAGTGTTAGAAGAAACATGAAGCAAATGCGTAGACTTCAAGACTCCAGACGTCGAATTCGCATCGGGCAGTCAACTCTCTGCCGGAGGCAGGAGGACTGCTCCCTATTCCACACTGCAAATAGAGAGTAGGCTCACAGCGAGCCTTCTAGACTGTACACGATACATGACCTTCAAAGGTACAATTCCACGCGCTGTCCCACAGGCCACAGGGTTTCAACACTGCTTCCTGTGAGCACACGCTTGTCGAATGGCCGACAACACAGAGGCGATGGCAGTCCCCACGTCAGCATCCGTGGTCATTCTTGTGAGGCCAAAGCGAAGCACTGCATTGCACACAGTGTCCACTCCAATGGCTTCCAGCACATGGGATCCATGAAATGTTCCATTACCTTATCATGATTGAATCGGTTATCGTAATTCACAAACGAATACGATCGTCCTTCACAAGCTGTTTAGTGGCTTCCCGTTGACTGGCCACAGACTGCTGCCGAGCCACAAGCGGAGGAATTTGAACAGGAGACTTGTGGCAGAACTCGCTGAAGCAAATCGCCGCCGTCGAGGTCAAGAATGCAAACCGAGACATTGGACCAAATGCGTTTCTCATGCGAACCGTTTAAACATATTGTTGGATGGCCTTGTTGGATACCATGGAAGAGTTTCTGCCCCAACTCCTGGCAGCGCTTCTGTGCGCTGTGTAATTGTAGGTGTTCCCGAGCAAGCTGAGCAGCCTGGCCGAAACCCACTGCCAGAGGTACAGGCACAGTGCCACTCCTTAGGCCACGTTCCTGGCCACCACCAACCTTGAATGGATATTCTTTGATTAAACCCTCCATCTCCATGGACACGGCCAAAGCCCCAATGCCCTTCGGCCCATGAAGTTTGTGGGCTGAGACGGACAGCGCATCAACACACAACTGCTTCACATCGATGGAAACCTTTCCAACTGCTTGGGCCGCATCCACATGGAAGAAGATGCCCCTGTCTTTGCATATCTTGCCAATCTTCTCCACAGGCTGTTTCGTGCCTATCTCGTTGTTGACAAACATGATGGAAGCAAACACTGTCTCGGGCCGAATCGCCTCCTGGAAGGTGCTCGTGCTGATGACTCCATCCAAACCAACAGGCAGGTAGGTGACGTCCCAACCCTCAATCTGTTCCACTCTGCGGCAAGCTTCCAGAACACACTTGTGTTCGAGCCTCTGTGGCCCCGGATACAAAGATGACCTGGGATGGATCTGCTCCCACTAGCAGCGCCACCTCAGTACTGTTTTGTTACACGTCGGTTAGGACACCAAAAGTGTCAACTCCAAAACCCAATCAGGATATCGCCAACATGCGCCTGCGATATCCTGCAATCCGTGCTCCTTCTAACTTCTAAGTGAACAAAGGAGCAGCTTCCACGCTTTAGGAGATCCCCTCTACATTTGCTAATACTGAAAAGCTGTAGCCTGAAAGCAAAAAGACGTGACAGGCCCATAAGCCTTCTTTGAGCTGTACATCCCTAGGAAAACCGATCGACCTAGTCTTATTCTAATATATATATATATATACTGTATTATACTGTATATGTCAAAGGGATATATATAGTTTAATTAATAGCAGGGACAGGGGCAAGAAATTCACAACGTCTCAGCAACAGCCCGTCTCAAGGACTAAGGCCACAGCCTTCTGCCTGGCGTCGCGAAGGGCCACCTCCGCGGCGCTGCCGTGTGTGTGCGCGGAGCTCGCGTTCCCAAAATGATGCTCGTCATAGGCCACCTGGACGAGGAGCGCTAGCTGTTGTGCTATGAGTCCTTCTGACCACTGCAGTTACTATAGTTGGTGAAACAAGTCCACGCACGCGAGGGTACTTTAGAAACAAGTTCGTAATAGCATGGTGGATGCCCAGCTCCCAAATTGTTGCCTGCGCGCAGTCACGCTCCGTTCAGAATTTTTCAACAATATAGGAAAGAGGTGAACTTGAACTTACTTCAAATTTATATTTCCACGAGACTGATTTCCAAACATTCTGATTGCTGATCTGATTAAGTTAGACCAAAGCCACCATACTTTGCAGCACTCGCGGATCAATTGGAGTTGTTGCATTGCCATCGCGATAAACCGGCGCATCTGTCACCTTCGGATCCTGACACACATACCAGCCAGGTGGTTCCAGAGTTCTCCGTCTCTCTCTCTCTCTCTCTCTCTGTCTCTCTCCCTCTCTCTCTCTCTCTCTCCCTAGACCTGTCACTGGGTTTCGGCGGAGTCTGCTACATATCAGAATCTACACATGTACACTGTAAGTTTCTGTAAATTGTAAATGTGTAGGTCTCCCGCCTTGAAGATCTTGAAGGCAGGCGTCTCTGCATTGCACAGGGCCGGTGATCGATCAGTAATGGCAGCTTGCGAACAAAAAGGTCGACAAGTCCTCTTGCCGTCCAACAGCACACTAGCCGTGCGCTCAACAAACTGCCCAGCCCATCTGAGCTTGTTGGCCGTCTCAATATGGTTGTTCAGCTTGGGAAACGCTCGCCAGTCAAACTCTGGCACGGGCCAGCCTCTGGCATCGTTTAAAGCCCTGCGGACAAATTGGGATGGCAAAAGCCTCACCTTTGCTGGATCAGTCCACACCAGCAGCTTTCCTGGCTGAAAGGAAAGTGCATTGTAGGCACAGCTTGGCAGGGATGCCAAGTCCTCCCACGACTGCAAGATCATATCAGCAGCACCAGCACGAGTGTAAAAGTACTTGAGAACCTGACCTTCAACGCGGTCTGCATCTTGCAAAGCGAGAGGAAAGATGTGCAGGTGGGCATGGTTTACCTGAGCGCAAACAAGGCTCTGCAAGGTCTTGGAGGGGATTGAACAACAACCTGAATCTGTCGCATCAATTCAACACCAAGAGACACAGGAGCACCCCTTGTCATCATCTGCAGCCCCACCATGTTCAGCCAGCAGCGCTCGTCCACCGAAGGTTTGTTGGGTAAGAAGCCTGCAAGCCTCAATCCATTCATTGTCCTCCTTGCGGGATGTCCTTGAGCGGTAGTAGTCGGCAAAGGAATGCTTGTGAGCTCTTGTCAGCACCAGTCCATATCCAAGGTCCCCTCCAAGCGCTGGAATCCAGCAAAGTTCTTCATTTATGACCAAGGGCGTCTGTACGCGATGGAATGCACAGTGATTCCTTTCACAAAGGTCAGTGGTCAACAATGATCCCAAGAGATCGCGCTCCCAGTCAGAGATCTTTAAGGGTTGCGCCATTGTTCCACCTTCCTGCGAACCCTTGTTCAAAGAACTGAAAGGATCTGAATTGACTCTTTGGCTCTTGGCAGTCCTCTCATCACCTGAATGTTGTGACACAGCATGGCGCTCCCGTGTCGTCGTCTCCATCCCTGCTACTGCTACGCACCTTCTATATGTGTATAGTGTAAGTACACTCACAGGTGCGCAAAGAGCTGCAGGCATGCACAGTGTTCCAGAATTGTCACACAAATGCTTGCAGTTCAGTTCTACAAGACAACTGGTTTCTCTCCTATAAGCTTCAAGGAGCACAACTGTCTCGCAGCAAAAGATGTTCACAGACACTGCGCTGACCCGACAGGTGCATGTTTGGCCTAAATTGCAACTCACGCACCAGCCTCAATTGCATCGATTCTTGAGACTACACCGACCCGTATCGAATCAAAGCAGTGAACGACAGTGAACAATATGACTGTAAAGGTCACCAGGGGTCCCCTGGCCGGCGCACGCCATTCGCTTGTCATGCTCCCCTCACGTGCGCCAACTAGGACACAGTTGACACACTGGATGAATTAATGCTCAGCTTGGCAATGTGAGCACGGCCGATTGGAACTTGTAACGGCCATTCTGAAGGTCCAGGCTCGCAAAGCTCACAATACGAAAGAACCTTGGCTGACGACAGCCTACACTCAGCCGAGGTGCAAAAGTCTTTTGAAATTAGCTTCTAGAAAATCGAAAAACGTGGACAACCATGGAACTCAGAGAGGATCTTCTTCAAGCCATCGTCCGTGTACAAGGCGAAGAATCGGCTCTGTCCAGAAGGATCATCCATCATGGGACCCTCAAAGTCACGGCCACCATACACACCACAGTAGAATACACCATCTTGCATCAGAACGCGACGGATCTCAGTCAGGACACTGGGAAGCTGCTTCTTGGGCACATGTAGCAGACTGTTCATGCAATACACGGCGTTCATGCTTGAATCTTCGAAGTTCAGGCTCTGCGTGAAGTCATACACGTGAGCCGTAAGACCTTTGCCCTGACACAGTTTCACCATCTCAGGCGAGAAATCCAGGCAAATCACTTCAATAGACTGTTGCGACCAGAAGTGCGCATCCCTCCCAGTGCCTGAGCCCAGTTCCAAAAGTCGATATGAACTGCCCTGTGCCAAACGTCGCCGCCTCAAAACTTCAGCAAACTCTTCTCTAGCTTGTAGCTTCCAGTCCTCTGCCTCGCGAAGATTTTGCTTCAACGCATCTTCATCGTAAAATTGTTGAAGGTGAGAGCGGGTCTGGTGGTCCATGCTAGGCCAGTCACGCGTCTAAGATCACCCAATCTTGAGCCTGAATCTTACGTTGGTTGCCAATGTGAGGCTCTACGCACAATTCAAGGTTCTTGCAGCCAAAGCCTGAATTCATCTGCACGCGAGCGAGCCCTGGATTCATCTGTGGACCGACCTTTTCCCCCAGCAACTCTGCCTTACTGTCTGCCTTCCGCTCGGAACCGGGTAGCCTTTACTCGGGAGTCCATGTTGAGATGATCAATGAAATTTTCAGGCTAAGCTTTAAGCATGGCTAAGCAGTAGTTGTCATGTCCATGTTGCCAGATGTCTACCCAGTTCGCCATGTGCTTTTCTGTAGCACGCTTCTCAAACAGTTGCCGATGCCCAGCCATGACACTCACCTATCTGAGGCCGACCCCCTGAGACGAACAATTCGGCTAAGCTCCCATATGCAACACTATGCAACATGAAATCTGCCTATAAATATAGACAATGTATACAAGCAAAGGCTAGGGTTGTAAGTGCCTCGGCCTCGAAAATCTCACAAACACAATTCAATGACCGTGGGGATTTCAATTAATTATTCAACTAGGATTTTGAGAACTCCTTTTTTGGGCAGCAACCGGAATCTGGGGGAACATTCTTGCTTGGGTAACAATGAGCGACTGATATGAACCCTACATATGCGGGCACCAGCAATTTGTGTAGCGAAGATGCTCCAAGCGCCCGAACTGTTGCGAGCAGAAGTTCTATGTTTTTCCTTTCTGGGGCTTTGCTATGTATCTAGGATTTTGGCCTTGGCAAGCACTGGGCAAGCACTGTAACCAGATCTTCGGGAAGTGCAGCTGCTGTAAAGCACAATTATCCAGATCTAGTAGCTGGTGAAAAACGCCATTGAAGCAGTTGGCGTCAAAAACTGTCAGCGAGTAGCCGCTTTTGGACAACTGCAGCGCAGCCTTCAGCTGGAAACTGCCCTCAAAATTTTCCATTGAAAATTTTGAGTGGAAGAAAAGCGGTGCCTTATATAAATACTGTATACATATATATATACTTATATATATATATGTAAACAATTCATGCCAAATTCTCTCTTGCCCCCTTCTGCCGCTGTGGGTGTGGTTGGATTGAACGATGTCTGAAGTAGTTTCTTGTTACTAGTAGTAGGGCCACGGCAACTAGTAGCGTCCTTGTCGTAGCGATGCCCTTTGTTACTAGTAGCGGTGCCCTTCCTAACCACACCCGTCGTTCACTCGCTCGCCCGGCGTGGGAACATCGTGCTGGTGAAGATGGCCTCGCAAGAGAGTGGGGGCACCAAGTCCCATCTTCTTGCACAATGAAAGGAAATTGCGATGGACCTGGCCTTCCAGTTGGTAGGTGGCCCTCACGATAGGTGCCTAGGCCAACCGGGAACCCAACAAAAGTTACAAAAGAACCATGGAAACAAAACATGGGCCAACAGGGTTTTAGTCTATTTGGGTTTAGTGTGCCACGATTCAATTTGACGAGTGCGCAACGTTTTTTTTCGAAACTCACCGGAAAGTTTGCATCAGTCTTTGCTGCGACGCAGTTTGAAGGTGACAACTGCATCAGTTTGCTCCCAAATGGAAAAGCAATCGATTTGAGCAGACCATGGTTCTTCGGTAATTTTTGCATTTTTGATCACAAAGATCAGCTGTTCATGAGCAACAACTGACTTATCAAGCACACGGTGCGCAAAAAAGTTGTAGACCCAAACCAGTAGAGCACCGATTCGGGAATCATCGCTCTCACTCACTTCTTCGCAATCGATCAAATCACCATTGCCAAACTGAATTTGGCATTCATAGCCATCTGGCGGCTCACCGGTTTCACACCATGTAATTCCTCCTTAGATGGTTGCTTGCAGGCCTGTTGCAAAGGATGGTTTCACAAGTCACATACGAAGGTTCATGTTCACCGAGTGACCCATTAACGAAGGTGCAACTCTCCCGGAATCATGGGGTTCCATCGCACCCACCCCCGAGTTCCCACAAAGCTTGACGCAAAAACTGTCGAATAGGCTGGAAACATTCATGGGTTTCTGATACAGTGGCGCTTCAACCTGTGCTTTGTTTCAAATAAATAATGCTGGCACTTGGAACACAGCTCACGCGATACCGCTCATGCGATGTTCTTTTAACCGGAGTCCGACGCTTTGCTTACAAGTCGAAAATGGCCCAGGTGCAAGCGTCCAGCATCACGATGCTGCGACCAGGCCAGGAAAATCTGTGTCTATTCGATGTCCTGCCAGGCAGGTAAGGTTCCATATCTGTGATTAAACACTTCCAACACAGTGCATTGAATGTTTGATCAAACCTCTGATCATTCTATCGTTGATTATGTTAAGATTATGTTATATAAGTTCCAAGTCTGAGTCAGATTCCAGATCCCTCCGTGCGCCTCCACAACGCTATCTAGAGCCATTGCCTCTTCCTCCTCTCCCTCACCATCAATTGCCGTTGGCTCCACTGCCGCAGGCTCCATTGCCGCGCTCACCACCGCGGTCTTATCCTTTGTCTCCGCTGCAGCTTCGCCCTTGTCAGGTGGTGGATCCTCGCGGGCCTTGAGCTTGGCTTCAGCCGACATGGACTCCTGGGAAGGGGCGATGCGCGTCAATAGATGCAGGTGGTGATTGACGGAACCCCCAGAAAGAAATCAATGAGTCTGTTTTGCAGTGATGTGCATCGGAAATCAACTGATGTCATTCACCACAAAGAGCTGAATCAAAGGATTCTGAATCGTTGATATCATGTTGATATATGTCCATCAACTGATGCCCAAACATGTTTTAAAAAAATGAGTGGTGTGTTCAGTGCCAATTGAACTTTGGCGCAAGCTCCCATCAAGGCACCTGGAGAGCTTTCGCCGCTGACACGTCACCTTTGGTTCGAACCAGCTCATCTCGAACTGCAGCCTTGATTTGCAGCAGATGAGATGATGATCAAGACATCCATGGCAAACCGCAAACCATCACTGTCAACGATTTTGTTGAAAGACCTGCACGATTAACAAGTTGATGGGTGAAAGCCAAGAAACGGCAATCTGTTCCAAGTCATCTTCGGAGATTTTAGCATCGGGCTTCACCTTCAGTGGCGCACGACTCCTCATATTGGAGTGAAAGACTCAACATGCACATACATCACAGTTTCAAGGTTCTGTGCATCACAAGACAAGTGCAAACTAGACACCCTAATGACTTCCTTCCCGAAGAGTTTGATGCAGTAAACACCGTTTGGATAGCGAGATTTGCTAGTACTGATATGGTCTGGATCCTTTGGTCTACCCGCCGGCCGCTTCATGGGTGCTCCCGCCACCGAACCGGAGGCTGCAGCTGGCCGTTACATCACTGGCTTTTCCGGTTCCTCGACATTCTCTTTGGGTTTGGGTTCAACAGCCACTTTTGGGGCTACACCCTTGGCCTTCGTTTTGGCCTTTGGCTTTGGACTGCTTTTTGTTTTGGCTTTGCCACCGGTTTCGACTCACCAGTTTTGGGTGGAGGTGTTTGCTTAGGATCATCATCGCTAAGCGCATCCACCGCATCCAACACCATGGCAATGGTCCTCTGGAGACCTCTAAATACACGGCTTGAAAACTTCAAGCACAGCATAATGTAAGAACATTCATACAGACTGTGTTCAGACTGTATTCAGACTTGTTCAAACATTAGCAATCGCTAGACATGCAATTCGTGTAACATGTCACAACGACCCGGCCAGCAGGAGTTTGCACGGGGAGCTCGATTTGATCGCCAGTGCGTGGCACCCCAGGCATTCTTGTGTAGCCCCAGCTGTTCGATGGGATCATTGAATGACACAATGACACATTGGGGACGAAGGAAAAGGTATTCAATCAGAGTGATATTGGGTGACAGCCATGGACACACAAAACCCATATGCCAGCTGGTTGCCACCGCCCAAAGAATCTACTGGACACAAATCCAAAGAAGCTATTGGAGCAAGACTGCCGATTTGGCAGGAATGCTTGCCACTCCCAACCAATAAAATTTTGGCTTGAGCGGTTGAAGAATTGCTGGAACGCCATCACTCACACGGACCTTCAGGGTCCAAAATCATGGTTCCCAGTTCTATGAAGCCACTCTTGCAATCAAAACATGTAGTAAGTTGTTTGGTCAAGATGTGCCTCCCACAGCACTTGGCAATTGGGGGACTTCGGAAGCTTGTCGAGGTTGGTGAAGCATCCGCCGAATTGGCTGTACTGTTGACTTTGCCCTTTGGTGTGATGTTGAAGCGAAATTGCCTCTGGACTGGCCCTGAACCTGTCTCCTGTCGGTGGGTTTCAAGTTTCAACATGTTAGAAACAACACTTGGTTGATTTGCAATGTTGACATGTCATTGAAATTCCATCGTATTGGTCGAATAATGTCAAACAACACCACAATGATCCTTGACCATTGGTTCCAAATCGTGATCCAC